TGGGCTCCAAAATCACTGCAGATGGTGATTGCAGCCATGAAATTAAAAGACGCTCACTCCTTGGAAGGAAAGTTATGACCAATCTAGATAGCATATTAAAAAGCAGAAACATTACTTTGCCAACAAAGGTCTGTCTAGTCAAGGCTATGGTTTTTCCAGTGGTCATGTATGGATGTGAGAGTTGGACTATGAAGAAAGCTGAGCGCTGAAAAATTGATGCTTTTGAACTGTGGTGTTGGAGAAGACTTTTGAGAGTCCCTTGGACTGCAAGGAGACCCAAGCAGTCCATTCTAAAGGAGATCAGTCCTGGGTGATCATTGGAAGGACTGATGCTGAAGCTGAAACTCCAGTACTTTGGCCACCTGATGCAAAGAGTTGATTCATTGGAAAAGACCCTGATGCTGGGAGGGATTGGGGGCTGGAGGAGAAGGGGCCGACAGAGGATGAGATGTCTGGATGGCATCACCGATCGAAGGACATGAGTTTGAGTAAACTCCGGGAGTTTGTGATGGACAGGGCATGCTGCAATTCATGGGGTCGCAAAGAGTTGTTGGACACTACTGAGCGACTGAACTGAACTGAACTTAGTTGTGATGCAGTTCCAGAGCCCACCTGCTCAGTTGTTGTGGCTTGTGGGCTTAAATGCTCTGGGCCATGTGGGATCTTAGTTACCTGATCAAGGACCGAATCCCCATCCCTTTCATTGCAAGGTGCATCTATTAACCACTGGACCACCAGGGAAGTCCCTGGAGATGTGAGTTTTCACAACTATGATGTGATCAATGTAGTAATGGTTCAAACCTTTGACCTTCCCCATCGAGACCATAGGATTTCCCTCACGGCTCAGTGGGAAAGAATTCACCTATAATGCAGGAGATACTGGTTCAATCCCTGGGTGGGGAAGATCCCCTGGAGAAGGAAATAGCTATGCATTCCAGAATTCTTCCAGAAGTCATAGGATTCCCTGGAAATTCTATGGACAGAGGAGCCTGGAAGGCTATAGTCCATGGGGTTGCAGAAAAGTTGAACACCACTTAGCAACCCTAACTGGGCAAAAGTCTGTTTGTAAGCCCCCTTTACCTCAACAGATGGTACTGGTTGGAGAATCTGAGAAAGAATTCTAGTAGTCTACTAAGCACTGGAAATTTCTTGCTTCCTAAGGGCTTTTTTTTTACTTTATAATAGTAAGACAAATTTTCCAAAAGAATTTTGGGAAATTCTTCTCCTTACTTTGGAGAGAAATGACAATGTTTTCAATTTTGAAATAGATGAAACTTTGACCTACTCTTCCATCCCCTCCTCCATAAATTGAATTCTGTGAGGCTGGGCTGTGTGTGGTACCAGGACACTGGCCTCTAACCCAGGTATTGAGGAACCAGGGTATTGAGGAACCAGGTATTGAGGAACCAGGTCCATTTCAGGGCATGTACACAGCAGGGGAGGCTACCATGGGGAATACTGTGACCATGATAGTCATTCATATGATGGCAAAAAGAGTGATGCATAGTTGTAGTTTATTAACTACACTCTAAATAAGATATCCAGGTATCTGTTGATGAAATTAGGTAACACCAAACTCATAGATTAATTAGCATATTTTACAGACTGTCTGTTAACTTAATCTTGTATTTACTTGAAGTGAAGTGAAGTGAAGTGAAGTGGCTCAGTTGTGTCCGACTCTTTGCAACCCCATGGACTGTAGCCTACCAGGCTCCTCCGTCCATGAGATTTTCCAGGCAAGAGTACCAGAGTGGGTTGCCATTTCCTTCTTGAAACCATATCAAATTGAAGAATAAAGGATAAGCTTGGAATTTTTCTATGACCTCCCTAAGACCTCAGAGTTGCCAGGCATCAGTTGATAAAGGAAAAGATTAAAGAGAAAATAATGTAGTAATCAATTTTTTAATCTTTTTATGAAATAACCAGGAGAATATCCTGGGAGTGTTCCATTCAAAGCAATATCAAATTTCTTCCTGCTTAAGGGAAGAGGTGGCTACCCTGAATGGGTTTTGTTATTTACGCAGGATTTCAAATGTGTGCATGTGTGTGTGAGAGAGAGAGAGGGAAAGAAACTGTAATTAATCTATTGGTACTTAGTCCCAAGGGGCTTCCCAGGTGGTGCAGTGTAAAGAATCTGCCTGCCAGTACAAGAGACACAAGAGATGTGGGTTCAATTCCTGGATCAGGAAGATCCCCTGGAGGAGGAAATGGCAACCCACTCCAGTATTCTTGCCTGGAAAATTCCATGGACAAAGGAACCTGGTGGGCTGTAGTTCACGGGATCCCAAAGAGTGGGATATGACTGGATGACTAACACACACACCCCTTCACAGAAAGATAAAGTCCACGCCCTGAATGCCTAAAAAGGAACTGACTGGTAAGGAAAGAGGCATTGCTCTACCATCCAACCCTCTCAGATGAACAGCGAAAATGCAGAAAGATCAATAGACCAAGAATCAGTGAGAAGACTTTGATTCTTACTGATTTGAGAGACTTTTTATTTATGAAGCATATTGTAAAGCAGAAAAGATCAGCAGCTCATTTTCTGGATTCTTATCAATGAATGTTGCCGCAGTCTAAGGGGAAAATGCAAAGAAAGATGAGCAGAGCCAGCTTTGGGCTACTATCTTGAAGGGATAAAGGACTCATCAAAGTGGACGGGCCAGCCATTTTCACAGCCAATAACAATGACTCTGGAGGATTCTGTGGCTCTGTACTTGCATGGAGGCCGGGAGGAACCTCCTTTATGCTTGCAGGTGGTGACCTGGAATGCAGATCTGCTTATTCTGAGATTGCCTCCATAAGGTTCTCCATTCCTGTCTTCACAGATGGCCTTGATGTCCTTCTTGTTGCCATGAATAAAGGTGTTGGTGTCTTTGCAAGGTCTGGTCAGGCCTCGATTTTGCATGATGTTATTACAGTATTTGTCATCCCGGCCCTTTGGTTTGGCGTCGTAGTGCTGGGTCAGGAAGTGTCTGTATCTGTAGTCATCTTGATCCAGGGCCAGTGGGGTCAGACCCAGACCCAGCATGAAGACCAAAAACAGGGGGCTCAGGACCATGACCATCTCTTCCAACAAAGGCTCCTGCCAAGGGCAAAAAGAGATGTAGTAGAGCACAGAACAGCATTGCCAAACTAGGCTGGAAGGACAGGGATTTGTTTTATGGTGGGGTGCCATGAATCATGGAGAAGGAAATGGCAATCCACTCCAGTACTCTCGCCTGGAAAATCCCATAGACGGAAGAGCCTGGTAGGCTGCAGTCCATGGGGTCGCTAGGAGTCGGACATGACTGAACGACTTCACTTTCACTTTTCACTTTCATGCATTGGAGAAGGAAATGGCAACCCACTCCAGTATTCTTGCCTGGAGAGTCCCAGGGACGGAGGAGCCTGGTGGGCTGCCGTCTATGGGGTCGCACAGAGTCTGTCACGACTGAAGCGACGTAGCAGCAGCCATGAATCAGGTACCCTCTATCACTAGGTATATCTTTTTCTTTTCCTTTCCTCAGTAGTCTCATCTGTCTCATCAATCGATTTCTTTGGAAAGTCAATTTAAAAGTTTCCTGAACACAACTTCCAAATGCAAACACTCTTTTCTATCCCTGAAGATCACTGAAAATTTACATTTCTATCAGTGGTACCATTAAAAAATCCATTCACACTCTTTAATTCATTTATTAACTGGGTACCAAACACCATGCTAGGTCCTAGAACACAAAGACCATTAAGACATACCAAGTGTCTCCCTAATACAGGATCCCCATGGGGGGATCAGCCACGGGGAAGGCATCAGAGCACTGATGTACAAAGACGAAACAAAAAGATATACACTGAGAGCTATGAAGATGAGGGACTTTCAGGGAACCTTGAGCCCAGGGAAGGGCGATCAGAGAGGACTGTTGAAGATGGATTCCAGGGCAAGTCAATCCATCAGTTGACTGTGAGGAGAGCAGGGGGAGCAGTTTCACCAGAAGGTGCATGGAAGCAGAAGTAGCAGAACTAATTCCCCAAGAAGTAACTGTTTCATGGCCAAATGTGGAATTATTACCATTTAGGAAGAACAGGGACAAGTGTGGAAGAATCTGTGTCGTCCTTGGGAGTGGGTCTGGGGTCAGCTCTTACAGAGAACTGGAGGAAGAGGAATTCAAGCTTACTCTTGACAGCTTCTTGCACTGGGAACAGTTTGGATTATTCTCAGAGAATATTTTCCAGTTTCCCTGAAGGCCTATGTGGACAGTTACGCAACAGGCAAATGGTATTATCATGTGGTTAAACAAATAAACAACAAAACACTTCAGACCTTTTCATTAAATAAAAGGCTTTATAATTTGCTGTATTGATTTCTTAACATCTTCCTCAAAAGAAGAGAGAGCTGCCATCACCACTCAGGAACAGTCAACTAAAACTGTAAAGCTCACGCATCCCAGGAATGGTGTGTCACAGACAGCACAGCCAGAGAGTGAATATTATGCTTCTTGCTGGGATGTGATTTTAACTCAATGACAGATAATTAAAAATAGAACTAGACCAACATAATTTATAACAAAATAGAAAACAAGCTTCTCATGAGCCACTAAGATTTTACTTCTTCTGGAAGCTGAGAATTGGAGCATTGCAAGATACTTATTGTTTGTAGCAGATAGTTTCTGACTATACCATCAGTTCTTTGGAGGAAAATTGAAAGAATAGGGCCTTTTTAAAAAAAACCACCATGGTCCTACTTCACTTTTTACCAAATAAATGTGACTGTCCTCATGTCTAACAATAAAAAGAACTTTTCAACGTTAATTGGAAACTGATTTTTATAACTTGGTTTTTCAAATTATTTTCCAATGAGTAGCTCATCCAATTTATAATTGGCTATGATTTCTCGTCAGTCATCACACATGCTGAGAAATTCTTAGACTGAGATAAAAATCTGATCTTCAATTTATTTTTAAATGTACTATAATCTTTATGAATCCACATAAATGGTATCAGTTCAGTTCAGTTCAGTCGCTCAGTCATGTCCGACTCTTTGCGACCCCATGAATTGCAGCATGCCAGCAGTGTCAAGGATATTAAATTATTAATTTTTATATTGTGCTTTTCTTGTTGTAAGTCAATAAACATATTTTCATATTAAATATTTTTGTAGCCCTTAAAGAGGCCACAAGTTGTAGCACTAAACCTTTAGTGATGCTAAACAATCCTGGGAAAACAGCTGTGGATCTAGAAAGACAAAAGGATTTGGGGCCCTGCTGCTTACATGGGAAGGCATGTCATAGGGTGAGCTTTCTAATCAGCATCTGACATTGATCTGCCTTATCTGTTTTATCGCTGTTCAGTCGCTCAGTCATCTCCAACTCTTTGCAACTCCATGGACTGCAGCATGCCAGTCTTCCCTGTCCTTTACCATCTCCTGGAGCTTGTGCAAATTCATGTCCATTGAGTTGGTGATGCCATCCAACTGTCTCGTCTTCTGTCATCTCCTTCTCCTCCTGCCTTCAATCTCCTTGCAGTTCAAGGGACTCTCAAGAGTCTTCTCCAACACTACAGTTCAAAAGCATCAATTCATCAGCGCTCAGCCTTCTTTATGGTCTCGAGCACACATCCATACATGACTGCTGGAAAAACCATAGCTTTGACTATACAGACCTTTTTCAGCAATGTGATATCTCTGCTTTTTAATATGCTGTCTAGGTTTGTCATAGCTTTTCTTTCAAGGAGCAAGTGTGTTTTAATTTCATGGCTGCAGTCACCATGCACAGTGATTTTGGATCCCAAGTAATAAAGTCTGTCACTGTTTCCATTTTTTCCCCATCTATTTGCCATGAAGTGGTGGGACCAGATGCCATGATCTTAGTTTTTTGAATGTTCAGTTTTAAGCCAGTTTTTTCACTCCTTTTTCACCTTCATCAAGAGGTGTTTTAGTTTCTTTGCTTTCTGCCATTAAAGTGGTATCATCTGCATATCTGAGGTTGTTGATATTTCTCCCAGCAATCTTGATTTTAGCTTGTGCTTCCTCCAGCCCAGCAAGTTTCTCATGATGTACTCTGCATATAAGTTAAATAAGCAGAGTGTCAATATACAGCCTTGACATACTCCTTTCCCGATTTTGAACCAGTCCATTGCTCCACGTCTGTTTCTGACTGTTGCTTCTTGACCTGCATACAGGTTTCTCAGGAGGCAGGTAAGGTGGTCTGGTATTCCCATCTCTTTAAGAATTTTCCAGTTTGTTGAGATCCACACAGTCAAAGGCTTTAGTGTAGTCAATGGACCAGAAGTACATGTTTTTCTGGAATTTCCTTGCTTTTTCTATGATCGAATGGATGCTGACAATTTGATCTCTGGTTTCTCCGCCTTTTCTAAATCCAGCTTGTGCATATGGAAGTCCTCAATTCATGTACTATTGAAGGCTAGCTTGAAAGATTTTGAGCATTACCTTGCTAGCATGTGAAACGAGCCCAATTGTACAGTAGTTTGAACATTCTCTGGAACTGCCCTTCTTTGAGATTGGAATGAAAACTGACCTTTTCCTGTCCTGTGGCCACTGCTGAGTTTTCCAAAGTTGCTGGCATAATGAGTGCAGTACTTTAACAATGTCATCTTTCAGGATTTGAAGTAGCTCAGCTGGAATTCCATCACCCCCGCTAGCTTTGTTCACAGTGATGCTTCCTAAGGCCCACTTGACTTCACATTCCAGGATGTTTGGCTCTAGGTGAGTGCTCACTCCATCGTGGTTATCTGGGTCATGAAGCCCTTTTTTGTATAGTTCTTCTGTGTATTCTTGCCACCTCTTATTAATCTCTTCTGCTTCTGTTAGGTCCACACTATTTCTGTCCTTTATTGCACCCATCTTTGCATGAAATGTTCCCTTGGTATCTCTAATTTTCTTGAAGAGATCTCTAGTCTTTTCCATTCTATTGTTTTCCTCTACTCCTTTGCACTGTTCACTCAGAAAATGAATAATTTCTTATCTTTCCTTGATATTCTTTGGAACTCTGCATTCAGATGGGCATCTCTTTCCTTTTCTCCGTTGCCTTTCACTTCTCTTCTTTTCTCAGCGATTTGTAAGGCCTCCTCAGACAACCATTTTGCCTTCTTGCATTTCTTTTTCTTTGGGATGGTTTTGGTCATTAGTTCCTGTGAAATGTTACGAATCTCTGTTCATAGTTCTTCAGGCACTCTGTCTACCAGATCTAATCCTCTGTCTACCAGATGTAATCCTTTGAATCTACTTGTCACTTCTATTGCATAATCATAAGGGATTTGATTTAACCTTACATTGCACTTTTCAGTCTGCTGGATGTGTTTTCTCTATTTTTTTGAAAAAGTTTCCAGCAATCGCTGAAAGATAAATTTAACATCCCAACCTTCACAGAAAGGAAAAGTCTGCCGCCTGTTACCTGAGATGGAAATGACTGATAAGGAAAAAGACATTGCTCTCCCATCCAACCCTCTCAGGGAGAAGCTGAATAGAGAAAATGGGGGAAGATCAGTAGACCAGGGATCAGTGAGAAGACTGATTCTTGCTGATTGCAGAGACTTTTTATTTATGAAGTATCTTGTAAAGCATAAAAGAAAAGATCAGCAGTGCATGTTCTGGATTCTTAGCAATGCATGTTGCCATAATGTGAGGGGGAAATGTAAGGAAGGAAGGGCAGAGCCAGCTCTGGACTATGGTCTTGGAGGGATAAAGTTCTCCTCAAGGTGGACAGGAAAGCCATCTCAACAGCGAATAACAATGACTCTGTTTGCTCTGAAGGCTCTGTACCGGCATGGAGGCCGGGTGGACCCTCCTCTATGCTTGCAGGTCGTGACCTGGAAGGGAGACCTGCTTCTTCTAAGACCGCCTCTGTAAGGTTCTCCATTCCTATCATCACAGATGGCCCTGATGTCGTCACTGTTGCCATGAACAAAGGTGTTGATGTCTTTGCAGGGTCTAGTCATGTTTCGTCTCTCCATCATGGTGTTACAGTATCTGTCATTGTGGCCTGCTGGGCTAGGATCATAGTGCTTCCTTAAAAATCCCCTGTACCCATCATTTTGAGCCAGGGTTTGTGGGGTCAGGCCCAGATCCAGCATGAAAACCAAAAACAGGGG